AGAGAGAGAGAGAGAGAGAGAGAGAGAGAGAGAGAGAGAGAGAGAGAGAGAGAGAGAGAGAGAGAGAGAGAGAGAGAGAGAGAGAGAGAGAGAGAGAGAGAGAGAGAGGGGGTGAGAGAGAGAGAGAGAGAGAGAGAGAGAGAGAGAGAGAGAGAGAGAGAGAGAGAGAGAGAGAGAGAGAGAGAGAGAGAGAGAGAGAGAGAGAGAGAGAGAGAGAGAGAGAGAGAGAGAGAGAGAGAGAGAGAGAGAGAGAGAGAGAGAGAGAGAGAGAGAGAGAGAGAGAGAGAGAGAGAGAGAGAGAGAGAGAGAGAGAGAGAGAGAGAGAGAGAGAGAGAGAGAGAGAGAGAGAGAGAGAGAGAGAGAGAGAGAGAGAGAGAGAGAGAGAGAGAGAGAGAGAGAGAGAGAGAGAGAGAGAGAGAGAGAGAGAGGGAGAGAGAGAGAGAGAGAGAGAGAGAGAGAGAGAGAGAGAGAGAGGAGAGAGAGAGAGAGAGAGAGGAGAGAGAGAGAGAGGAGAGAGAGGGAGAGAGAGAGAGAGAGAGAGAGAGAGAGAGAGAGAGAGAGAGAGAGAGAGTGAGAGAGAGAGAGAGAGAGAGAGAGAGAGAGAGAGAGAGAGAGGGTGGGGGAGAGAGAGAGAGAGAGGAGAGAGAGAGAGAGAGAGAGAGAGAGAGAGAGAGAGAGAGAGAGAGAGAGAGAGAGAGAGAGAGAGAGAGAGAGAGAGAGAGAGAGAGAGAGAGAGAGAGAGAGAGAGAGAGAGAGAGAGAGAGAGGAGAGAGAGAGAGAGAGGGAGAGAGAGAGGAGAGAGAGAGAGAGAGGGAGAGAGAGAGAGAGAGAGAGAGAGAGAGAGAGAGAGAGAGAGAGAGAGAGAGAGAGAGAGAGAGAGAGAGAGAGAGGAGAGAGAGAGAGAGAGAGAGAGAGGAGAGAGAGAGAGAGAGGAGAGAGAGAGAGAGAGAGAGAGAGAGAGAGAGAGAGAGAGAGAGAGAGAACTAGTACATCAACACTGTATAACACTAGATCACATGAAACACCTTCAATCCTACTATGAAACACAAATGATGAGTCTGCTACAGTCACCTGACTTGAGTTACTTGTGGTAACTAGAGTGACCAAGTGAGGAGTGAAGAATCTTAAAGATTTTCTTCTTGTTTTTACTGGAAGTTTATATTGAAGAATGAGGTGAGTCATGCAGTGTTTTTTAAATTATAGTTCATAATGTACAGTCACCCACAACTTCCTACTGCCTTTTCCTGAACCATCAACTCATGAGCCAGAAGGTAGACTGATGTATTATTCTGTCCACAAATGCTTTCGATTGCTGAGTCTGAACCTCTTGGATCGTGGTTCAGGAGGAGAGGTAACGGGATATATGTGGGTGACTGTACTTTGACATGATACACCGAACAATATCTTTTACTACTACTGTGCTCATCCTGCTCATGCTCAAACCAGAAATATTGGTCAATCATGCACATGCCAACACCTGAGTCCCACCATAGTAGCTGAGCGCCTGAGGGGGTGGTCACAGAGGTCAGTGAGGAGGAGGGCATCACTACTGGTGTCCTGCTCACCTGGCCACAGACACCCCCTCTCCTCACCCTCCTCCACGTCCAACACGCCCAAAAATAACAAACATTTTAGCAACAGCACAAATAATTTCCTGAGACATTTATATATTTATCACATCTTAAGTGAGGCACACAGTAACTGCCTTTATCAATGGTCATGTAAAGGAGCCAAAAGTGAGATACTTTACACCCACAAGTCTTACTTTGTGCTGCATTAGTTATGACATTACCCAAGAAACATTTCCACTTACTGTGACCAAAAGAAGCCTTCAACACTACTGTGACTTAATCTGAACCTTAAATGATCAAGACAGAGAACCAAACATAATAATATTCACCACAGCTGTCAAGACACACTGTTCATGGTGGAATCTTATCTCATAATCACTTTTACAACATCTAATTTATTTCTCTCTAGGTAGTAGGCAGCTACCAAACAGGGAGGTACTACCGCCTGGGAAGATATTGGAAGCATAATGTGTTGTCTAATGGTAGACCCTGCTGCTATATATGACCAAGTCCCAGGTTGATGATCTGACTTTCTGCCTCATTTACACACAATTGCAGGGTCTCAATTGTTTCTCTTACTATTGACAACACAACATACATATATTGTTTCTCACTTTAATTTTTTTCATTTTGTATTTCTTTATGGTTCTTTATTATTATTAATATTATTATTATTATTATTGTTGTTGTTGTTATTACATTTTCGCCCCCCAGGCCCCGATGTGGGTCAGTGACCTGTGCCTGGGTGGGCTAATCCAGAAAAAGCCAACTCTTCTCTTTTGTACCTAACACAGGTTAGACTATAATCCCTAACACACAGTACGATAACTGTACCAAACTTACATTAATTGACACATCATAAAATGGTTGTAATTGTGCTGGGTAAGTTCTAGTACCTGTATGAGGCCAACAGTTTATGTCAGTGCTGTTACAATGTATTCATTACAATGGGTTCTGGATGGGGTGGATACTGTAGTCAAATGTACTTCATATTTTGGTGAATATCTTGAGGAGTAATCTGCACCACCTTTCCTCAGGTCTTTAACCTCTTCAGTATCTCAATCTTTGTCACAATGTCCCATTTCTGTTGCCTCAGTTTTTCTATTCCGCGGTAATTTACAAAGAATTTACACCATCAAACTTCTGCCTCTCCTACACGTACTGTCACCTCACCCTCCTGCCAGACACACTCACCTATCACACACCTTAGATCATGCCTCACCCCCTGTAGTTCAATCACCACATAAAGCACTGCATCATCAACACACCTTAGATCATGCCTCACCCCCTGTAGTTCAATCACCACATAAAGCACTGCATCATCAACACACCTTAGGTCATGCCTCACCCCCTGTAGTTCAATCACCACATAAAGCACTGCATCATCAACACACCTTAGATCATGCCTCACCCCCTGTAGTTCAATCACCACATAAAGCACTGCATCATCAACACACCTTAGGTCATGCCTCACCCCCTGTAGTTCAATCACCACATAAAGCACTGCATCATCAACACACCTTAGATCATGCCTCACCCCCTGTAGTTCAATCACCACATAAAGCACTGCATCATCAACACACAGTGATCATCTCTCGTTTATTTACTTTATCTAGCCGGAATTCCTTTTAACCGGAACTCACTGATAGCCGGAATTTAAATTTTCTCAGAAAATCGTTCCCAAAGCCAGAATTTTCTGGAAAACTCTGGCTTTGGGAATTATTTTCTGAGGGGTACATTTGCTGGAAAATTCTGAGAAAATGTCCCGGGACCAGGAAAATTCCGAGGTTGATGGATTTTTTCCGGCTTTGAGAGAGTCGTCTCGTTACCCGGAAATCTCTCATTCCCGGAAGTGCTCTGCACCAATTGTTCCGGCTAATAGAGATACCACTTTTCTTCTTAACAAGTTATGTAAAGTAATTATGGATACTTCACATGACAGACAATTTATACCGAAACCTGTAAAATGAATCTGGGTGTACAGAGGGCACTGTATATGACTGGCTGTACTGCTCACACTATTATGACCTGTGCACAGTTTCAATTTTCATTTGATGTTAAATAGATTTGTAAAGTGAAGTGTTTATTAACTAACTCACCTTGTCTGAAATCTTGAGATCTTCCACCACAGGCAAAGTGTGGTTCTCTGTGGGAGGCTGTATGCCCGTACCTTGTGGGAGCGGGACAGCCACGTCACTCCCGCCGGCAGCCAAGGGATCCTCTTCCCCGACCCCTCGTGGTGGCACTAAAGATGGGGAGGACGCTGGGCCCACCAGGTCCAGGTCACCATTTGCCGTTGCTGCTATTGTCAGTTCATGCAGCTGCTGAGTGGTGGGGTGAGCTGATTCCTTCTCAGTCATTTTCTCCAGTACTGAAAACCAAACTGCACTATATTTGTGTTCTCCTTCATAGAGACGAGATATAACTGTGAAACTTTCTTTAAGTTAACACCAGAATACTGTACAGTACCTTGCAACCTAGAGATAATAACAAGTGTGGATATATAGAATGGTGCCCAGGTATAGTATAGTATAGTATAGTACACTATACAGTGAACCCTCACTTTACGCGGTCAATTGAACCCACGGCGGCCCGCGTAAAGTGAGAAACGCGTGAAGTGAACAACAGAACATATGGGATTAATTGAAATGGGAACCGGGCCGACCCCCAAACTCCACTTTTTCAGACACAATACCTATGTTGTAGTAAAAATAACTTCTTAATTTTATGATGGTATGCACACACAATTAATAATTAAGAGAAATATCAATAATATTAGGTTTTTTAACATTTACATTAGTAGAAAAGATGGCTGGGCACACAGGTGATGGGGGGTTGGTTCCAAGGCAGAGGGCAGATTAATGGCCTTCACCTGTATCACTTGTATCAATTGTATCACTATCCACCACAGAGGCTTGCAGGGCCTCATTGTCAAACCCCTCAAAGTCCATATAAGTCCATATCCTCACTATCATTATCACTATCACTGACTTGGGCCGGCTGTGGTGGGTGGCGGGTGAAGAACTCGGTAATGTTTTGATGACTGGGCGACCTTGTGCGTACCCTGCTCGCGCCGCTCTCCGCGTAAAAGGGTACACTCACCGAGGAAAGTAAGCATTCTGTGTTCGGCAGGGTGCCGCGTAAACGTGGAAACGCGTAAAGTGGGACCGCGTAAAGCGAGGGTTGACTGTAGTATAGTATAGTATAGTACTATAGCATAGTATTATAAATGCCATGGTTAAGGACGTTTAGGTGACGGACAAGTCGAAGGGAATGATTGAAACCCGCATTTTGACGCATTCAATATTTATTGATGTGGTCAAAACCTGCAGAGAACAAGGCGTTCATTAGTATTACATGGTGATCTATCTGATACATAATTAGTTAGTCTCAAACGATTTCATCTTAATTATAATTGATTATGAAGCATAGCGACTTGATACAAGTTCATAACTCTATTAATCTTAGCTACACTTCATTCCACATTGTCTTATTGCTCCAGATAAGGCAGAAACGAGTAGGCATAATTAGTCCACATTATTTCAGTACTGAGGGGTATGTCATCACTTTGGCTGTACAGTACTTACAAGTGCGGGTCAATGCGAACCAGTATGGTGTTCCAAGGGACAATAGTACTGTGTAAATTGTTCCAGCACAAAACTCGGCCAGGATTGGGAGTCGGTGTTTACCACAGAGGGCTGGTGGCTGGTCCTCAGCATCACTCGAGGCGATCTACCATCATGGGACCTGGTGGCCGCCACCCTTTAGGCTCATACACTCTCCAGCAGAATCAAGGTCCTCTTGTCTGTAAACACCCCCCAGCCGCCATGTGCGTGGTCACAGAGTGCGCTTGAGGGGGTGGTCTCAGTGCCATGAGCTGAGAGATTTAATGTTTGTTCGGGTAAGGCAATGCCAGCACTGTAGTTGAAGCCAGCGGCGATAACAGTATAGTACAGTATAGTATAGTACTATAGCACAGTACAGTATAGTGTGGATTTATGCGGTTTTTGTTTATGCGTTTGGTCATTTACAAGGTGCCTTGCCAGAATGATTATGTTTTAATTACACAGTAAATTTGGTCATTTACGCGGCGAGCGGCTGGAGAGGACCAGACGCGCCGCGCCATTTTTTACTCACGCGGTCCATTCTTGACCATACGCGGGAAGCGGCGCAGTGAGGGGTGCGCATTAGGTCGCTCTTACGTTATCGCTGATGTCATATGACGTATCGGGCTGTGATTGGGCCACGCATCCTTACCACCCACACATACCCTCCGCTGCTAGCTGTGATTGGTCTGATGTAACATGACGTGCCCTGCCACCAGAAGTCGCTGACCTAGCCGGGCCAGTCTCATTGTTCTCAGTCCGCGTATACAGTTCTCTCTTGTGCCCGCTATTCCCCTCACAATGGCTTCCGCTGGACCCCCACCACCCGAGAAAAACATTGAATTACCTGGACCAAGCCATGATAATGTGAAGGAAATCATCGAGTTGGGGGAGAAAATTAAACTCATCCTTGACAATGACCCAGACAAGCATTGGTATGAAGCGTCTAATAACCATCTGAAGAAAGTTATGGAGCCGTATATCCAGATCTATCTCGACAACATCAATTCTAGTCGTCAACGTAGTATTGAGGACTTCCTCGCCCGCAACCCACCACAACCACAGCCAGCCCAAGTCAGTGATAGTGACAGTGAGGCTATGGACTTTGAAGGGTTTGTCAGGGAGGCCCTGCAAACCTCTGTGAGTAGTGAAAGTGATTCACCGGAGGGCAACTAATCTGCCCTCTGCCTCGGAACCAGCCGCCATCCACGTGTGCCGACCCATCTCTTCCACTAACGTAAGTGTTAAAAAACCTAATATTATTGATATTTCTCTTAAATATTAATTGTGTGTGCATACCATCATAAAATTAAAATATTTATTGGCTTCGTTTTACGCGTTTCTCGTTTATCTTGGACTAGGTTCAATTGACAGCATAAATGCAGACTATACACCATAGTATAGTATAGTATAGTATAGTATAGTATAGTATAGTATAGTATTGTATAGTATGGTATGGTATGGTATAGTATGGTATAGTATAGTATGGTATGGTATAGTATAGTATAGTATGGTATAGTATGGTATGGTATAGTATAGTATAGTATGGTATAGTATGGTATGGTATAGTATAGTATAGTATGGTATAGTATGGTATGGTATGGTATAGTATGGTATAGTATAGTATGGTATGGTATAGTATAGTATAGTATGGTATAGTATGGTATGGTATTGTATAGTATAGTATAGTATAGTATGGTATGGTATGGTATGGTATGGTATGGTATGGTATAGTATAGTATGGTATGGTATGGTATAGTATGGTATGGTATAGTATAGTATGGTATAGTATAGTATGGTATGGTATGGTATAGTATGGTATAGTATGGTATGGTATGGTATGAAGTATGGTATTATGGTATAGTGGTATAAATATAGTATAGTATAGTATAAGTATAAGTGCAAGTATAATATAAGTATAAGTATAAATTAAGTATAGTATAAGTATAAATAATTTATATAAGTATAAGTATAAATGTAAATATAAGTATAAGTATAAGCATAATCCATAAATATAAATATAAATATAAGTATAGTATGTGTAGTATGTTATAGTATGGTATGGTATAGTATAGTATAGTATAGTATTGTATGGTATAGTATAGTATAATTATAGTATGGCGTAGTATGGTATATGTGCATATTATAAGTATAAATATAAGTATAGTATAAATATAAATATAAGTATAAGTATAAGTATAAGTATAGCATAAGTATAAATATAAGTATAAATATAAATATAAATGCATAAAGTATAAATGCTAGCACAATGTAATATAAATATAAATATAGTATAGTATAGTATAGTATTGTATTGTATTGTATTGTATAGTATAGTATAGTATAGTATAGTATAGTATAGTATAGTATAGTATAGTATAGTATTGTATTGTATTGTATTGTATAGTATAGTATAGTATAGTATAGTATAGTATAGCGTAGTATAGTATAGTACTATAGTACAGTGATCCCTCAGTTAACGAAATTTTGGTTAACATATTACCTTCCATAAGAATCTTCAATTCGGTTAACAAACAAAAATTCAGTAAACGAAATTTTTCCGAAATCATGTCAACATGTTTTCACTTGCTCACCAGCTGGAATATTAGTCCGCCAATACAGTAAACGGTTCTAGGGCTTAAATTCGTTCCCATTTGAGTAAATATCAAGAAGGTTGTACTATTCAATAATTTTCCAAGTTTTATATTAAAATTTTTAGTCATTGTAACACATATTTAACATAATTGCAGTACAGGGAACTAGTTTTTGGTGAGCCCATCAGCCACTTCACTCACCCACCAAGGCATCTGTTTGTGTCTCTGGTCAGTGGAGGTAGCATCTTGCTTGTGGGTCTCTTGAACATAAACTATTTTTACATTTTTACAGTACAATTATTGGTCATTCTGAAATTTATTTTACATATTGACAATATATAGTGCAGTGCAGTGTTGATTTAATGAAAATAATCTTGAATTACACCAAGTGAACTTAAAATTTTATGGGTGAAATGACGGCATGAAGCATGGGGTGATTTCTCTTCCACCCCACTTCCTTCTCTTCTCCCTTCTCCTCCACCCCCACTTCTAATTCCCATCATCATCATCATCAACCAGGAGCCTTCTACATACACACCTCAAAGTAAGTGCATTTATTTTTACTTTGTATGTAATTTTCGGTGAGCTGGAACCAATTACCCAAAATCCCATTGAAACAATGGTTTTCGGTTCACGAAATTTTCAGTTAACGAATGACCTTCTGGAATGAATTGTGTTCGTTAACCGAGGGACCACTGTATAGTAAGTGTTGTACGCATCAACGAAAAAAAGTGGTGCCGTCAGTGTAAACGGCCGAGAAATTTGATGCCGTCAGCATCGGCGTAAACAATGTCATAAATTGACGTCGTTAGCGTCAGCGTCTACTCCTAGCATCAATGAGTTTTCAGTGACGTACAAATGCAGCCCCAAAACGTGTATTCTCCTGTGTATGGGAGTAACATATCATTTTAATTATTCATTTGTTCCCCCCAAGAATACTAGCATCTCAATATGCTTGTTGCTCATTCTGCTGCGCTTGGGCCTCAAGACGTCCTTGCCCATGGAGAACATGCGCTCCACAGCAGCACTAGAGGGGATGGGGTTGTTGTATATGATGAACAACTCCCTCAAGGCCTTGTTGGTCATCTTTATAACAAGATAATTGAAAATTGAACTTGGAAAAATAAAAAAATTTAGAAGTTGACGAACAAATTTACGCTTGACGCTCCGCTCGCGTGAAAAGTTAACTGTGTCAAATATAGCGTCACCTGCCCAAAAAATTGATGGCGTCAACGTCAACAAAAAGTTAACGCCGTCCATTGACGGCGTTAAATTAATGGCGTCAATGTACAACACTGCAGACAGGTGTACATCAGCACACACACCCAGTCAGACATGTGTACACCAGCACACACACCCAGTCAGACATGTGTACACCAGCACACACAGTCAGACATGTGTGCACCAGCACACACAGTCAGACATGTATGCTGCTTACACTCAGTCCAGACATGTGTACACCGCACACTCAGTCAGACATGTTATGCACCAGCACACACAGTCAGACAGGTGTGCACAACACACACAGCCAGACATGTGTGCACCGGGCACACTCAGTCAGACATGTGTACACCAGCGCACTCAGTCAGACGTATGGCCACACCAGCACACACAGTCGAACACCATACATAATTGTTCAAACAGTCAGACATGTATACACAGCACACACAGTCGAACAGGTGTGCACCAGCACACACCTGATCAGACATGTGTGCATCAATGCAAACAGTCAGACATGTGTACACCAACACACACACACAGTCAGACATGTATACTACTTTTGGCACCAAGGCATATATACATCCAAAATACACCCTGAACCATATACACCCATACCCCCAGTCAGACATGTAGCCACCAGCACACACAGTCAGACATATGTACACCAGCACACACAGCCAGACATGTGTACACCAGCACACACAGTCAGACATGTGTACACCAGCACACACAGCCAGACATGTGTACACCAGCACACACAGTCAGACATGTGTACACCAGCACACACAGCCAGACATGTGTACACCAGCACACACAGCCAGACATGTGTACACCAGCACACACAGTCAGACATGTGTACACCAGCACACACAGTCAGACATGTGTACATCAGCACACACAGTCAGACATGTGTACATCAGTACACACAGCCAGACATGTGTACACCAGCACACACAGTCATCGCCCCAAGCTACTGTCCTGGCCACGTGGCACACACCTGCAACCACCAGTGAGACAAGACATGCCCTGTAGGGGCTCCGGGTTTTGGCGTGCAGGCCGAGCCGGTTGGCCCTGCACCTTGGTATATCCCAACGCCCCACCAGCCTCACTACACCGGGACTCTCTCAGCAAAACATTGAAGTGATCAGTGCAATAAGTGATTATCATACAGTGCTCCGATAGTGCATCCCAAGGAAAAGTCAGACAGTGGGCACTTTATCGGTCACCTTCAAAGTGCCAGTGACAAGGACCACCGCGGTGTTTACATATATCGTGAAAACTGTGTCGGCGACCCCAAGCGCCAGGGACAAGGACCCACGGTCTTCACGACTGACAAATATTAACAGATGTCAACCAGTGTCGGTGGCCCTCAAAGTGCCGTCAGTGAGTTTATGGCCACCGGAGACAAACACTTCCCTCCGCCCACAACAGATGGCCACCAATCACTCACTCCCGACGCACTCTGTACCATCTAAAGCGTGGGAACGGTTATCCCGATGGCAGTGTTATCGCGCGACTCAAGTCACTGAACATATTCCACGCGCGTAGCCGTAGACAGGGCCGTCATACACATTAGCCTATTAGGACCGTAACCTCCACTAGGAAACCGGAGAAACCCACCCCTGACAGACCGTACCATTACACTGAAGTTCCACGGATATGGTATGATCTCCCGTCTCTACAGCTATCCAACGTCACTTCCCTAGCTAATAAGTTCGACGAGCTGGCAACTACAGTCAGGTCAGCCGCCGCGAGCGTCGTTGCCATATGTGAGGCTTGGCAAATTGTGCCTGAAACGTGTCATATTGAGGGATATCAACTCTTTCATCACCTTCGTTCACATAGACGCGGAGGGGGCGTTGCCCTCTTCTGTCAAGATGACCTACGCCCGTCACGCCTGGATGTTCAAGTCCCAGCAGATGTGGAAGCATTATGGGTACGTGTTGTGCCACGGGCCCACCCGCGCCACACTGCTTCCATCATAATCTGTGTGGCATACCATCCGCCTCGCTCACCCACCAGAGACACTCTTATCAATCATCTCATTACCACCTCAGACCACCTCAGAGTTAGGTACCCATGTGCCAAGTTAGTATTATGTGGGGATTATAATGAAATTGATACCACTGATATCCAGGACCAGCTGTCACTATCACAAGTTGTAAACTTCCCAACACACGGTCAAAATTCCCTTGACCTTATCTTAACTGACTTCGCGGACCAGTACCAACCACCTCAACCAATGCCTCCTATCGGGTGTAGCACACACTTATCAGTGCTCTGGTCCCCAGCTGTCACTCCCACTCAAGTGCAAAGACCCTACATCAAGACCTACAGGCCGATTACTGACTCTGCAGTGCGCCTCTTCGGGCAGTGGATAGTTAACCATCCCTGGACTGAAGTACTTAGCGTGGATGACGTGGAAACCAAATGGAAAAATTATACCAACACCACCACGGAAGCTCACCACCACATCTTCCCCGAGAAGTCCGTCAGATCTCACCCAGCTGACTTGCCCTGGATCACAACTCGGATCAAAAGACATATGCAACAGAGAGACAGAGCCTTTCATCTCAATGACCACATCCGCTACAGGTCCCTTCGCAACCGAGTCATCCGCGAAATACGCACTGCAAAGAAGTCCCACTACCCAACCAAATTACAACACCTGAAGCAGACCAACATCAGTCAATGGTATGGTAAGCTAAAAGAACTCTGTGGACTAAACAATAAGACACACCCCCTCCCCTTCCTTAGCCATTTCACTAATGTTGACGCAGCTGAGCAATCAAATAACCATTTCGCTACTATATGCCAGACGCTCCCCCGGCTTGACACAACCACTCTCCCTGCTTACCTACCTGCCCCCTTTCCCACTGACTTAGTAGAAGAATTTGAAGTAGCAAAACGTCTGGACAAACTAAAATTAAAATGCTCTACCACCCCCATTGACTTACCAATGAAACTCTTCAAGGAGTTCTCCCTGGAGCTTGCTAAACCTCTATGCTCCATCATCAATGCTTCTCTCAGTCAAGCCAGATGCCCAGCTAACTGGAAGACCTCTTATGTATCACCAGTGCCCAAGTCAACCAGCCCACAATCCTTAAATCAGCTACGACCTATTGCAATCACCCCAATACCCAGCCTAATCTGTGAAAGTTTTGTGTTCGACTGGGCTTATGCTGATATTGCAGGAGTTGTAGACCCTCAGCAATTTGGCAATATGAAAACTTCCTCCACCACTCACTGTCTTGTCAGCTTTCTCGATTACATATACCGCCATCTCGAAAAACGAAAAACGTCTGTAGCTGTCGCCTTCATTGATTTCACTAAAGCATTCGACCTAGTCGACCACAATATAATCATCAACAAAGCTATTGACCTAGGGCTTCAGAGAAGTCTTATACCATGGCTTACAGACTTCCTCAGTGACCGACGCCAAGCTGTACGCTTCCGAGGGGCTGTCTCCACCTTTCAGTCACTCACCTGTGGCGTCCCCCAAGGCACCAAGATGGGACCACTCTGCTTCCTTATGCTTATCAATGATGCCCTAAGAGAAACCCCCGCTCGCTGGAAATATGTCGACGACTCCACCATTGGGATCAGCGTCAACAATTCTGCTCCCGACTATACCGCCCTTCAGGATTTATTGAACAGTCTCCAAAACTGGGCCACCAACAACCACGTCACCATCAACCATACCAAGACCATGGTTATGCACATCAACCTCTCCTCCGACATTGTCCCACCCCCTTCCATTAATTTAGGTCCGAACACACTCCAGGTTGTAGATTCCACGAAGCTCCTCGGCGTCACCATAGACAACAAACTAAATTGGAAACCACACGTCAGTGAAGTTGTCAAATCCTCCAGTTTCCGTCTCCACCTCCTCCGCCGACTCAAGTCCCTCGGAGTTCCTGCACCCGAGCTCCTCAGTGTTTACTCAACATTCATACTTCCCAAGCTCACCTATGCCTCCCCTACCTGGTCTTCCTCCCTAAATGCCACACAACGTAAACACCTAGAAAAAGTGCAAAAGAGGGCATGCAAGATTATTCTCTCCCCTTCCTACCCCACATATCAAGAAGCGCTCAACACACTGACCCTTTCGACTCTCACTGACCATCACCACGACCTCATCTGCAAATTTGGTAAGAAGCTTCTGCACCATCCTCGACACCGGCTCCTACTACCACCTGAGATCCCTAGCCAGAGAATTGCTGTTCGACACCACAACTGCATCCAGCCCATACGTGCACGAACTGATCGCTATAAGAACAGCCCAGTCCCAACCATTGTAAAAATTATCAATAACTTGTAATAAACCAGTGTATTCACTCCCAGTAAATACTACTTCTTGCACTGTCACTATGTTGAAATGCCCTGTAGTTTGAGCTTTTCCCCATCTAGTTATTATATATCTTATTTATATCACTTATTGTTATTTGTATATTATTTGTAATTCGAAACCCATTCCTCAATTATGTAACTGTATATTTTCAGCCTTCTGGCTGCCAAGCTCTTTCAATAAACCGTTAATTATTATTATTATTATTATTAGTGTACACCAGTCACCATACTCTTACCAGGCATAGCGGCTAAGGTTGCAGTCTTTGTGCCAGGCTGGGCCGGTTGGGCAGGTAGGGCGCCCTCCATGATCCTACTTCTGTTGGAGTCTGTGGATGGCTGCCTCATCAGGCCTCTCTTGCCCCGTCTGTTGAGAGATTTATTGATGGTGCCGTAGTCCGTCGGCAGGTTGGCCAGAGAGTGGAACACCTGACGCTTACGGATGATCGTGTACACCAAGTTGCTGTTGCCTGTAGTGATAACAGTAATGTACTTTACACCCTTACCTGCAGTCAGGTACTGTACTGTACCTGGAACCTGATCAGAGACTGTTAAGAACTATACAGTACAGTCAGTGACCACTTAACATGCATGATGTACAGTATTCCTGACAACTTGTAAGTCGACCAGATTTACACTGAGTGAACACTGACGTTATTGCATTGGGACAAAAAGGGTAAACAACGGGAAGGACTAACAATACAATACAGCCTGTGGAGATGACTTACTGTGAGTCTGAGATTAACTGTACAGGTGATGACCTATGGCAGAGAATAACCCTACACAAACTGATCAGTGACAGCCTCTAACTTACTATAAACTTCAGAGGGAGATGAAGGATTCCAATACACTACCTTCAACAGTTAGATCATAATGTGAATGTTGAATGAATAGTTCCTGCAGAGAGTCACCAGACAAGGAAAGATAAAGGCACAATGTTTATGTCAGCCAAGAAAAAATACTTCATACCCCAGAGCACAAGATTAAGTTTATGAACCGTGTCAAGAAGCCTGACATAAACATAACTGTTGAGGGTTTAGTGGGACACAGACTGCTGGTACGATGACAATTAATGAACTCCAAAAGGTTTCATATCATTACAACAAAATATTTGGTGTTATACAAAGATCTGTAGGGGCCAGGAGAGAAGGAATCACTGTACCCCAGATCACCAACCCTCACTCTGTACTGTTGGTGCCCTCCATGTAGCCACACACATCAGTCATTATTGGGTGGGTGAAGAGGACACCTCAATAATCCTCCCTAAACTACTTAACCAAAACCTAAAGGAAGGTGGGAGTGTCTACACCATGGGTGAAGGTGGGAGTGTCTACACCATGGGTGAAGGTGGGAGTGTCTACACCATGGGTGAAGGTGGGAGTGTCTACACCATGGGTGAAGGTGGGAGTGTCTCCACCATGGGTGAAGGTGGGAGTGTCTACACCATGGGTGAAGGTGGGAGTGTCTACACCATGGGTGAAGGTGGGAGTGTCTACGACCTTCTCAAAGGACTCCCAAAGAAGTCTCACAAGCCTCTCGTGTGGACTCAAGAGGCTGTTACGGCATTCACCGCTATCAGACAGCACATCACACGCCTCACCCTCCTAGCCCACCCTGCACCTAACGCCCGACCACTCTCACAACAGACGCTTCTTCTATTGCAGTGGGCGCCGTCTTACAGCAGGAGATCAATGAAGTCCTCATGCCCGTTGCATTCTTCTCACAACGGCTTCAACCACCTCACCTCAAATACAGCGCCTTTGATCGAGAACTCCTGGCCGTATACCTGGCTGTCAAACATTTCCAGCACTTCCTTGAGGCCCGTCAGTCCACCATCTTCACTGATCACAAGCCCCTCGTCCTCGCCTTTACTTCAACCTCCCAGTCACATACACCTTGTGTCCTGCGCCACTTGGCTTACTTCTTGGAGTTCTCCAGCGACGTCCAACACATTAAAGGCAGCCACAACGAGATCGCCGACGCCCTCTCTCGTTGTATACCCAACATTCTCCCCTCATCTCCACCCATTGATTATGGGCAACTTGCCGCGGCTCAAGAGAATGACGAAGACCTGGCAGCATACAAGACATCTCCATCAGGCCTCACACTCCAAGAACTCCCAATCCCCAGCATGAATATCAAATTGTGGTGCGACGTATCCTGTGGGCAGCCTAGACCGTTCGTACCTCACGTCCACCGCCGCGCTGTTTTCGACCGCATCCATGGTCTCAGCCACCCGGGTGTGCGGGCCGCCCAGCGCCTCCTCACGCAACGTGTCGTCTGGCCCAGCATCAAGACCGATACTAAGAAATGGGCTGCCCAGTGCCTGGCCTGCCAGTCCTCCAAAATACATCGTCACACACGGGCCCCCTTACAAACCTTCCCTATTCCCAAAGGACGTTTCCAAGTAGTGCACCTCGACATAGTGGGACCTCTACCATCATCCTGTGGTAGCACCTACATCTTCACCTGCATCGACTGTTTCACCAGGTGGACAGAAGCCATCCCCATGCTACAGCAGAGTCTGCCGTCCGCGCCTTCATGTCCGGTTGGGTTTCCCGCTTCGGCCCCCCCGCTACCGTCATCACCGACCGAGGAGCCCAGTTTGAGTCACAACTCTGGCAGGACCTCCTACAGTTCCTCGGCACGTCTAGGCAACGCACTACTGCATACCAACCCTCAATCCAACGGCATGGTAGAGCGTTTTCACCGGCAGCTGAAGGACGCACTCAAGGCACAGCACGACCCTTACAGCTGGACTGATGCGCTTCCCTTAGTGCTCCTCGGCATCCGTGCGTCACACAAGGAGGATATGGACTGTAGCCCAGCAGATCTCACCCTAGGCGAGCCCCTTCGCCTACCCTGGGATTTCTCACTCCCTCCTGACCTCCACCAACCCACTCCTGTCGTTCGTCACGACTTACTCCAAAAGCTACGACAAGCAGTTTCTGCATTCAGAGCTACTGCTCCACGCCAGCTTCCTCGGCGCCCTGAACACATCCCTCCTGCACTACTAACAGCCGAGTATGTGTTCGTCAGGTATGATGCTCACCGCAACCCACTACAACGCCCCTACGATGGACCCTTCCAGGTTGTGACCCGTTCAGCAAAGTTCCTGACGAGACCGTCAGCATAGACAGAGTCAAGCCGGCCACCTTACCCGTTGAGCCCCCGACCCAGCAGCACCACCAACAAACGACGCCTGCACCAGTCTACCCGCAGTTGCCACCGGCAGCAACACCACGCCCACGACATTTTTGGGCACTCTCTTTTCGCCCTCAGGTGCCCCCTGCTCCTGTCCTGGACCCTGCTGCCGTGGTAGAACCTGCTCCTCTATGGACCCTCTGACGCTCCTGACCCAGTCAACCCAGCCAGTGGCCCTGAGGAAGCTGCCCCAGCCGCTATAGAAGCACAACAACCATTGCCTGTACAACCTCCTCTAATCCAAAACCCTCTTTCTCCCCCTGATTCCCCCACAGGTTCTGTGTCATTAGACGGAGTTGTCACGCGCAGCAGCCGAGTGGTACGTACACCTGTCCGGTATGTAACATCCCCATCGCGCCCGGAGGGGAGAGGGAGTATTGTAGTGGAGGCCTCCCCTACAAACGCCGTGTGTCGCTGACTGGCCGACCCCCCGCGAATCTACCGGCGTATCCCTCGTGGTCAAGGTCAGGTAACCAGCGACGCCGAACAAAGCGGGGCCTACCATCAAGCCACGCCTACCCCCGCTATATAAGACCTCACCTGGCCGTCATCGACCACTTTCTACTTACCGCCACCAACAAGCAACATCCCTCAACAGCTCCATACACACGCTCCCTCAGAAAGCTCCTCGCCCTACAGGAACTCTGAGCAAGCTTCGCCCGACTTAGTATCTCTTTAACACTGTGCTGTGCAACAATATATATACGAGAAACACTGTGATTTTCTACTTCTACCTCAATCCTGAGTGTTGGATATATTACATGTACGTTGTGAGGCCAAATAAGAGACCCTGACAACCTGCCACGACAGTACGCTACAAGTTCAGCAAGCACTCACCATCAAACTGATACTGGATGATGTTATTGAATGTTTCAAGGAGGAAGAACACCAGGTGGTGATGATGTGGTGCAGAGAAGAGGAACCAGGGGGTGGAGAATGCTTCCAGGAGGTGCAGCAGCTTGTTGGCTGCCACCATAGACAGGGTCTTGATGTATGGTGACACTGCAAAGACACAACCACCATAATTACTCTATCATATACTTACAGTGCTGGGTCTTGATGTATGGTGACACTGTAAAGACACAACCACCATAATTACTCTATCATATACTTACAGTGCTGAGGTAAGCCAGCCTGAACCTACTCTATGTGTGATGGACAGTAAACTACACAAACACTTCACACACTCATAGTTACTAGTCGAACATTATGATGCAGTACAGTACTGTGTCTGCACCACTAACATAATGCTGCCACACTAGATGTATTACACACACACACACAGAGTAGAAGACAAACATTAAGTAAACTGGCCGCCAGGTTAAGTCACTTTCTATTACTGTACTGTACAACCCTACACGACTGATGACTTTATAACACATACTCTTAAAGCTCCTGGTCATGCTGTGGTAGTTAACCTTACCAAACATACATACTGTACTGTACTCCTCTCTCCCTCCACATAAACAGTACACAAAGTGAACCTCTTGCACCACATAATACTTTTAGAACTGTTAACAGAACAAGTATAGTCGAGTATTTACCATTAACGAGAATAGTGAGGAGACAGTCAAAGAGGGGCTGTAGACGCTGGTGGCCCGTGGTGATGATCTTGTGGAACACTATGATCATCAGGTCCGCGTGTGTACCTGTGGGAGACAACCTGTGCTGCTGTACTTCACCTAGTGCTGTACTTCACCTAGTGCTGTACTTCACCTAGTGCTGTACTTCACCTAGTAACTAGTGGTGTACTTCACCTAGTAACTAGTGGTGTACTTCACCTAGTAACTAGTGATGTACTTCACCCAGTAACTAGTGGTGTACTTCACCTAGTAACTAGTGGTGTACTTCACCTAGTAACTAGTGGTGTACTTCACCTAGTAACTAGTGGTGTACTTCACCTAGTAACTAGTGGTGTACTTCACCTAGTAACTAGTGGTGTACTTCACCTAGTAACTAGTGGTGTACTTCACCTAGTAACTAGTGGTGTACTTCACCTAGTAACTAGTGGTGTACTTCACCTAGTAACTAGTGGTGTACTTCACCTAGTAACTAGTGGTGTACTTCACCTAGTAACTAGTGGTGTACCTAGTAACTAGTCCACCAGTAATTAGTGGTGTACTTCACCTAGTAACTAGTGGTGTACTTCAAGTGCTAGTGGTGTACTTCACCTAGTGTAACCTAGTGTAACTAGTGGTGTACTTCACAGTAACTAGTGTGTACTTCACCCAGTAACTAGTGGTGTACTTCACCTAGTAACTAGTAGTGTGCCACCCAACTAGTGGTGTACTAGTAACTAGTGGTGTACTTCACCTAGTAACTAGTGGTGTGGTAACTAGTGAACACCTCTAGTGGTGGTGTACGCACCCAGTAACTAGTGGTGTGTAACTAGTGGTGTACTTCACCTAGTAACTAGTGCTTCACCCTAGTAACTAGTGGTGTACTTCACCCAGTAACTAGTGGTGTACCACCTAGTAACTAGTAACTAGTGGTGTACTTCACCTAGTAACTAGTGGTGTGTAACTAGTGGTGTACTACCTATAGTGGTGTACTTCACCCAGTAACTAGTGGTGTACTTCAGTAACTAGTGGTGTGCCACCTAGTAACTAGTGGTGTACTTCACCTAGTAACTAGTACTTCACCTAGTGTACTTCACCAGTAACTAGTGGTGTACTTCACCTAGTAACTAGGTGGTTTCACCAGTAACTAGTCACCAGCAGTAAGTGGTGTAACTAGTGGTGTACTTCACCCAGTAATTAGTGTGTACTTCACCTAGTAACTAGTGGTGTACTTCACCCAGTAACTAGTGGTGTACTTCACCTAGTAACTAGTGGTGTACTTCACCTAGTAACTAGTGGTGTAACTAGTGTGGTAACTAGTACACCTAGTAACTAGTCACTTCACCTAGTAACTAGTGGTGTACTTCACCCAGTGGTGTACTTCACCCAGTAACTAGAAGTGTGTACTTAGTAACTAGTGGTGTACTTCACTCTAGTAAGTAATTAGTGGGTGCACCCAGTAACTAGTGGTGTACTTCACTAGTGGTGTACTTAACTAGTGGTGTGTACTTCACTAGTGGTGTACTAGTGGTGTACTTCACCCAGTAACTAGTGGTGTACTTCACCTAGTAACTAGTGGTGTACTTCACCTAGTAACTAGTGGTGTACTTCACCTAATAGTGGTGCACCTAGTAACTAGTGGTGTACCCAGTAACTAGTGGTGTATTTCACCCAGTAACTAGTGGTACTAACTAAGTAACTAGTGGTGTACTTCACCTAGTAACCTAGTGTGGTGTACTTCACCTAGTAACTAGTGGTGTACTTCACCTAGTAGTAACTAGTGGTGTACTTCACCCAGCCAAGTAACTAGTGGTGTACTTCCAGTAACTAGTGGTGTACACCTAGTAACTAGTAACTAGTGGTGCACTTCACCTAGCTAGTGGTGTACTTCACCTAGTAACTAGTGGTGTAACCTAGTAACACAGCCACAGTAACTAGTGGTGTACTTCACCTAGTAACTAGTGGTGTATACTAGTAACTAGTGCACCTAGTAACTAGTGGTGTAGTAACTAGTGGTGTACACCTAGTAACTAGTGGTGTACTTCACTCAGTAACTAGTAATCAATTAAACCTGTGTAGTGGTGTAGTAACTAGTGGTGTACTGTTGTGGTGTACTCACCTACTTCAAGTAACTAGTGGTGTAAACTCACCTAGTAACTAGCTCACCTAGTAACTAGTGGTGTAAGTAAAAAGTAACTAGTGGTGTACTGTAGTAACTAGTGGTGTACACCTGTACTTCACTAGTGGTGTATGTAACTAGTGGTGTACTTCACCCAGTAACTAGTGGTGTACTTCACCTAGTAACTAGTGTAAACTACTCCTTTAACTAATCTTTTATCATGAACCACAAGTAAACTTGTAAACACTGTACACACCTGTGTAGTCACACCTGTAAACACTATATAAAACACACTGCCACACACCTGTAAACACTGTAGTCTCACACCTGTAAACACTGTAGCTCATAAAACACACCTGCCACACACCTGTAAACACTGTAGTCTCACACCTAACACTGTAATAAAACACACCTGTCACACACCTGTAAACACTGTAGCTCCACACACACCTGTAAGCACTGTAGCTGTCATAACACACACCTGTAAGCACTGTAGCTCTATAACACACCTGTAAGCACTATAGCTCTCATAACACACACCTGTAAACACTGTAGCTCTCATAACACACCTGTAAGCACTGTAGCTCTCATAACACACCTGTAAGCACTGTAGCTCTCTATAACACACACCTGTAAACACTGTAGCTCTAAAACACACCTGTAAGCACTGTAGCTCTCATAACACACACCTGTAAACACTGTAGCTGTGATAACACACACTGCACTGTAGCTCTCATAACACACACCTGTAAGCACTGTATAACACACCTGTAAGCACTGTAGCTCTCACACACACCTGTAAACACTGTAGCTCCTAAAACACACCTGTAAGCACTGTAGCTCTCATAACACACACCTGTAAACACTGTAATAACACACATGTAAGCACTGTAGCTGTGATAACACACTGTAAGCACTGTAGCTCTCATAACACACACCTGTAAGCACTGTAGCTCTATAACACACACCTACTGTAGCTCTCTACACACTGTAAGCACTGCAGCTGCAGCTCTCATAACACACACCTGTAAGCACTGTAGCTCTCATAACACATCTGTAAGCACTGTAGCTCTCAAAAAACACACCTGTAAGCACTGTAGCTCTCATAAAACACACCTGTAAGCACTGTAGCTCATAACACATGTAAGACTGTAGCTCTCTATAAACACACCTGTAAACACTGTAGCTCTCATAACACACCTGTAAGCACTGTAGCTCTCATAACACACACACCTGTAGCTAAGTAAGCACTGTAGCTCTCATAACACACCCTGTAAGCACTGTAGCTGTCATAACACACACCTGTAAGCACTGTATCTCTATAACACACACCTGTAAGCACTGTAGCTCTCATAAAAACACACCTGTAAGCACTGTAGCACACACCTGTAAGCACTGTAGCCTCATAACACACACCTGTAAACACTGTAGCTGTCATAACACATCTGCAAGCACTGTAGCTCTCATAAAACACACCTGTAAGCATTGTAGCCCTCATAACACACACCTGTAAGCACTGTAGCCCTCATAACACACACCTGTAAGCACTGTAGCTCTCATAAAACACACCTGTAAGCATTGTAGCCCTCATAACACACACCTGTAAGCACTGTAGCTCTCATAAAACACACCTGTAAGCACTGTAGCCCTCATAACACACACCTGTAAGCACTGTAGCTCTCATAAAACACACCTGTAAGCACTGTAGCCCTCATAACACACACCTGTAAGCACTGTAGCTCTCATAAAACACACCTGTAAGCACTGTAGCTCTCATAAAACACACCTGTAAGCACTTTAGCTCTCATAACACACACCTGTAAACACTGTAGCTCTCATAAAACACACCTGTAAGCACTTTAGCTCTCATAACACACACCTGTAAACACTGTAGCTCTCATAACACACACCTGTAAACACTGTAGCTCTCATAAAACACACCCACCACACACCTGTAAACACTGGAATGTCCATGGGCACAGAGGCAGTGTACGGTTTGTTGAGACGGACCCCAAAGTTGCGCTCCCCACTCAACAGCAGGAGGATGAACACCCCGATGTGCATCAAGCCAACTCTTGCTGTAGGGCAAGAGATGAAGAAATAATTACTGGACTGTATAGTAATGTCTCTTTCAGGCTTAATGGTGACTGCTTCTGGTGCACAAGTCAGCCCTAAGTCTATCTCTGTTAACTTTTATTCCTGTTGGGTTAAGTCAGACTCAAGACACTTAAAATCCCAAGTCCCAAGTAGTATTAGGACTGAGAGGTTCCTTTCCTGTGGGCCTAAATAATTCACCTAAAACTGGAGAGTAATAATAGGAGACTCACACTGGTCTGCTCGAGCATCGTTGAGATGATACAATATGGGAACAAGTATGTCCAGCACGTCACTGCTCTTCAGAACATAGAACAAGAATTTCTGGAAAGGAAAACATTGTGTAAGTTTCTCTCCCAAAGAAACAAACAAGAAAATGTCTACAAAATTTGTGGTTCAAAATCCCATAATTTTTTCCCCAGGAATTTGGACAGTGGAGAACCTTTTAAAGAAAAGGGGAGAGGCAGGGAGAGAAGATCTCATCTGGGTGTGAAGTCTTGTCAGTTTATATGTAATCATGTACAGTACAGTTGGCTGAACCCAAAGTATTTGTGGACAAAATAATGCATCAGTGTCTACTGCTTCTGGTTCACGAGTCTGAATTTCAGGGTTCATGGTTCAAGAGGAGACAGGACTTCTGTGGGTAACTGTACATAGTAAACAAAAGGATATACAGTACAGTACAGTAGTCACACAGCCAAGGAAGTACTGCTGCTGGAATTTAGTATAGGTTAAAGTACAGTAAATCTAGATCCCTTCTCCATAACACAGTTCCTGGGTTAGTTTTTACCTAATGCCTCAATTACAGTGGTCACCAGGCAAGGCAGCTTTCTGTACCTAGTAAAGGGGGAAGAGTTGAGAGGGTACACGACATACTCAGATCCATTCACTAGTTTGTTGACATCTCAGGTCCAGCTCACCTCACAAGCTCAAACAGAAGAGGAAAGAAATCTGAGTTGTTTGACCCAGATGTGATTATAAGATGGGATTTCAGGACTAATGCTCAATTTGTGCCTTCACATATAGATAACAACAAACTAAATTGGAAACCACACGTCAGGGAAGTTGTCAAATCCTCCAGTTTCCGTCTCCACCTCCTCCGCCGACTCAAGTCCCTCGGAGTTCCTGCACCCGAGCTCCTCAGTGTTTACACAACATTCAAACTTCCCAAGCTCACCTATGCCTCCCCTACCTGGTCTTCTTCCCTAAATGCCACACAACGTAAACACCTAGAAAAAGTGCAAAAGAGGGCATGCAAGATTATTCTCTCCCCTTCCTACTCCACATATCAAGAAGCGCTAAACACACTGACCCTTTCGACTCTCACTGACCATCACCACGACCTCATCTGCAAATTTGGTAAGAAGCTTCTACACTATCCTCGACACCGGCTCCTACTACCACCTGAGATCCCTAGCCCGAGAATTGCTGTTTGACACCACAACCGCATCCAGCCCATACGTGCACGAACTGATCGCTATAAGAACAGCCCAGTCCCAACCATTGTAAAAATTATCAATAACTCGTAATAAACCAGTGTATTCACTCCCAGTAAATACTAATTCTTGCACTGTCACTATGTTGAAATGCCCTTTGAGCTTTTCCCCATCTAGTTATTATATATCTTATTTGTATCACTTATGTTACTTGTATATTATTTGTAATTCGAAACCCATTCCCCAAATATGTAACTGTATATTTTCAGCCTTCTGGCTGCCAAGCTCTTTCAATAAAACGTTAATTATTATTATTATTATTATTATTATTATTATTCAAGTCTGCATACAGTACGAAAGCCAGCTAGAAAGGGAGGTACTGTGAGAGGAACCAATATACGGTGATCCCTCGATTAACAAAATTTCGGTTAACGAATTACCTTCCATAAGATTCTTCACTTCGGTTAGCGAAAAAATTTCGGTTAACGAATTCCTTACGAATTTTTCCCAACGTTTTCGCTTGCATTTGGCTGTTCACCAGCTGTAGTATTAGTCTGCCAATGCATTAATCGGTTCTAAGGCTTAAATTCCTTACCATTTTAGTAAATATCAAGAAGGTTGTACTATTCAATAATTTTAAAAGTTTTATATTAAATTTTTTAGTCATTTTAACAATTATTGAACATAATTGAAGTACAGTACAGGAAACTAGTTTTTTGCGCGCCAAACAGCCACTCAACACACCAAGCTTGGCGTCAGTTTGTTTATCGGTTCAGTGGAGGTAACATCTTGTTTGAGACTCTTCAACATAAACGCTTTTTTTCTGTGTTTCCAGTCAAATTATTGGTGATTTTGAAATATATTTTACATATTGATAATATATAGCGCAGTGCAGTGTTTATTTAAAGAAAATTTTCTTTATTTACAGCAATAAAATTTAAAATTTCAGTGTTGAAATTGAATCCAGCATGGCTCTCAAGAAATCGAGAAAAGTTATTTCACTCCAGGTAAAGCAGGAAATTATAAAGAAACATGAACAAGGCATTAGAACAAATGTGCTTAGTAAAGACTATGGGATGTTGGCATCAACCGTGTCGACAATTCTTGCACAGAAAGACAAGTTCAAGGAAGTGAAAGTGAGAGACAAATCTACCAGGCTGGTTAAAGGTAGATCCCTAATAGCAGAAACAGAGAGGTTACTTCTCATTTGGATCAGGGAAAAGCAAATGAAAGGTGATTCAGTTTCCACAGAATTTATTTGTGAAAGAGCCAGGGAGATTTACGAACATTTAAAGGAAGGTCACCCTGGTTCTTCTGGCACAGAGTTCAAAGATTTTCGGGCCAGCAAGGGCTGGTTTGAAAAATTTAAGAAAAGAAGTGACATTTTCAGTGTTATTAGGCATGGTGAGGCTGCAAGTGCAGATAAAGAAGGAGCAGCAAAGTTTGTAGTGGACTTTAACAAACTGGTGGATGAAGAAAATTATCTTCCACAACAAGTGTTCAATGTGGACGAAACTGGGCTGTTTTTGGAAGAAAATGCCCAAAAGAACATTCATCACCAGAGATGAAGCTTCTTTACCTGGGCATAAACCCATGAAGGACTGTCTCACTCTATTGCTTGGTGCCAATGTTTCAGGGGGTTTCCGACTGAAGCCTATGCTTGTCTACCACTCTGAGAACCCCAGGGTGTTCAAACAACAAAAAGTGGTAAGAGGAAAGCTTGGAGTTTATTGGAAGTCCAACCGTAAGGCATGGGTGACAAGACAGCTCTTTAATGAATGGGTTGTTGAGGTGTTTTGCCCTTCTGTCAAGAGGTGCCTAACCACCAATAAACTCCCTTTAAAGGCTCTTCTCCTCATGGATAATGCCCCTGGTCATGACCCTGAACTTGCCAGCACTTTGGAGGCTCAATTTGACTTTGTCAAAGTGATGTTTTTGCCTCCCAACACTACATCAATCATGCAGCCAATGGACCAGAATGTGATCAGCAACTTCAAGAAGCTGTACATGAAGAAAATGTTCAGGAGGTGTTATCAGGCAACTTCCACTGATCCTGAACTAACACTGGCACAGTTCTGGAAGATACAAAATTGATTGCGTCATCATGGCAAGAAGTCTCCATTAGATCCCTCAATTCTGCATGGAAAGCACTGTGACCATCAGCAGTTCATGATTTTGAGGGATTTGCAGAAGAAGCAGAGTTGGACAAGGAGATTGTGTCCATTGGTCAGTCATTGGGCCTCGAAGTGGAGGAGGTTGATGTGGAAGAGCTTGTGATGTCTCATGAGCAGGAACTTACTCCTGATGACTTGCAGCAACTGGATGAGATGTAAGAGGCTGACAGTGGTGAGGAGGAAAGGGAAAGTGATGACCATATGTCTACTTCAGATTTGAAAGATGTTGTTCACCACTGGGAGAAGTTCAGGAAACTGGCTTCAAGGCATCCTGATGTGGAAACAACAGAACCTATTTTGTGTAATGCTGAGGACAGAGTGGTCTCCTTCTTCAAAAATCAGTTAATGATGAGGAGGAGAAATGCCCCACAAACAAAAATTGACAGTTTCTTCACTAAAAGGCAGCGGGAAAAAGATGCTACCCCTCAGCCTTCCACTTCAAGAAGGAGAGAGGATGTTCATGGTGGAGAATCTGTCAGTCCAGAGGTTCCTGACATTTTCATGGAAGGTGACTCACCTTCCAAAAAGCAGTAAAATGCTTCTCCTACACCTCCACTTCCTTCTCTTCTCCCCTCTCCTCCACCCCCCACTTCAAATTCACATCAGCATTATCATCCAGGAGCCTTCTACATACACACCTCAAAGTAAGTGTACTTGCATTTTTTTTTACTTTATGTAATTTTCGGTGAGCTGGAACCAATTACCCAAAATCCCATTGAAACAATGGTTTCGGTTAACGAAATTTTTGGTTAACGAACAACCTTCTGGAACGAATTGTGTTCGTTAACCGAGGGACCACTGTATTCCTACAGTATGTTACAATGGCCAGCCTTACACCCCGTGGAAACAATCTTATCATACCAATGTCTATTATGTTGTAGAGTAAGACATGTAAGAGCATACCTTAAGCTCCTCCCTATGACCCTGTTGTCCTGAGGTGACTAACACTCAGACAATATGTGAAGGTTTAAGTCTCCCTACCCTAACACAACTATTGGCCAAAGTCCATAAAACTCACTGGAAATACAGCTCCTCCCCGACTTACGGCCTACTCGACTTACGACCACCCGCACTTACGACCTGCATCATTCGTACCAAAATTTTTTCAAATTACGTATTTTCGAGTCCCAACTTCAGTACACAGACAAAATTTTCGTTTGTAATTCACTTTAAAATGGCTGGCAAGATTAAAAGGGAGAGTTTTGTGGTGCTGAGAAGAAAAAGAGACACCCATTTTAGATTTTTCTATGTATTATTTAAGCATTTTCGACTTACGACCTGGATTTGGGTCCCTAACCCCGTCATAAGTCAGGGAGGAGCTGTAATTATGAGCATGAAACCATTACCTAAAGGGGCTGTGTTACCATCCAAATAACATGACAGGTAATGACACTCATAAAGCTGATGCACCTGTGTAGACTGAACAAACTTAAGGGTACAACTATCACCACTTACTGACGACAGTGTTAACACCCCTATGGTTCTCTACACAGTTAACAAGACACACCATCTACCTCTCACTACACCACCAATAAACTGACCTTATTATAGTCACAAAACTTCCAGAAGAAGACCATCAGTTCTTGATGGAAATTCACTTTCTTGGCGGAGTGAGGAAGGTAAGTCTGCTGGAGAGGGTTATTCAACAGCCTGGTAAACCCTCGAAGCACAAAAGAAAAATCTTCCTCGCGATGAATGCGACTCAGGTAGTTGATGAAGAGGTTGTCAGGCACTGCAGACTGAAGTCAAGTGTAAGGACAAGAGCTAAACATTAATTTATGATAATTATACAATATTACACAATTACACAAGTGTTCAATATGTGTAACAGCAATAACTGATGTGACAGTTACTGCTATACTATACATAAGGGGGACAAGTACAGTCCTCTCCAAGCAGTAACATGACAACACACACATCATTCTTCAAGACTACTAACATTCCTCAACATCTTCCATACAAACATAACACAACACATTTTCGTCTAAAACTGTAGTAAGTATCTGACCCACAGAACAAACACCAACCTCTTCAAGTTCTGACAGTGCGGCCGTGATGTCGTGATCTAATGTTGTTATTAATATCTGAAGAGCCACTTCCACCAGAGGCTCTCTGGAGTCCGAGAAGAGAAGATGGTTGTACGGCACGCCGAACCCGACCGGGTTATAACCACACACGACGTTGAGCAGCGAGGTGAACAGTGGCAGAGCGTGACGGTTGTCGGCCGAGGTGAACACCGTTATCCACCGATTTGGAGCGTCTGTTGCATCTGCTGGAGACCACATCTTGTTTAGTGCAGTATGAAGTAAAGCATTTATACCTCTGCCATACACTGTACAGCCACTCAAAACTCTATCTATACAAAATTGTGTTGAAAAAATATGACACAACAGACGAAGAATTTTGGCAACCCAACCGAGAGAACAGGAGTTAAGGTGTTCATTCTCAACTTCACCCCCCCCCCCTCCTCAGTAGAGATAGTTTTGTGAGTGACTAGATTTAAGAAGGTGAAGCCATGAAGATACACTGTGTACACTTTGTTCACCAACACCACTACAGCACAGTACTGCCACACAAGCTCCCACATACACAACATGGACTGGCTGCTTCTACCTTCATTACAGAACATCAATAAATTGATTTAAAGCCCTGATACTGTGGTCTGTGTGAGCTATACTGTACAATGCTGACATCACATAAGAAATACTTTTACTCTCCTACCACCCCAACTTCCACCCCCTTCCATCTCTCTTTCACCTCCTCTTACATCTCCCCTTCCACCCACAGTTCCATCTCCCCTTCCACACCAACTTCCACCCCCTTCCATACACAGACTTGGAAACAACATGGAAGCAAAGACTTATGAAGGCAACCTACCCGAGGAAGCTTGGTATATACTCTGGCTGAAGCAGGTAAGGATAAGTTTGAGGATCTCTGTATGGTTTATATCCTGCGCTGGCACGTGAGGTGGGGAGTGAGCAAACCCTACTCCCGCCTCCCAGATGAATTCACAACTGTCGATACTCTGCAGGTCCTCGTGCTTGTCCTGTTGTCGCAGTACAGAAACAAATCACAGTATTATTTAGTAGATAAACAACGACGACTGCAGTGATACATCCTTCACCCCCCTGGGACAGTATGAGTACAGTACTATCATATACTGTACATCTATATAAACTAGTCAGGTACACAAGGATGCCTGACTGTATACTACTATATTATGCCTACAATACATCGCGTTGAAGTCACGTACCGGTCCTGATTTCTTATTGGTCGTCACTGTGAAGTCCGGACAGAAGAGCAGATCCTAAAATTGGAAGATAGGAGAGTTAATTATAATAGTTAACTGGAAGACAGGAGAGTTAATTATAAATAAGAAGCAAACTTCCCAATAAGTATAATGTCGGTACAACATCGCTTTGAGTCGTCACGGACAACTTTTTAATGCGTATCACCTTCTCTCGGCTCGGCAGTCTCAGTGACTCCCCACCCTCCTCCCCTCCCACCATACTCCTCCCCTCCCGCCATCTGCCTCCTCCACTTCACTATCCACCACACACTCGCTCTATCACCTCCGTCCATCAGTGAGTACCAATACAAACTTAGTGCAGTGGTCCCTCGGTTAATGAACGGTTCGATTAACGAAATTTTGGTTAACGAATTAGCTCCCATAAGGATCTTCAATTCGGTTAACGAACAAAACTTTGATTAACGAAATCCTTACGACAAACACGTTTTGTTGTGAGCATCAGCTGATCAACCAGTCCGCCAATACAGTAATCGGTTCTATGTTTACATTCGTTTCCAGTGGAATAAATATCAAGAAGGTTGTGCTCTTTAATATTTTTGCATTTTTTATATTAAAATTATTATTAATTTAAAATTTAGTTAATATATTGATAATATATGCAGTACAGGGAACTAGTTTTTTGTGCGCCCATCAGCCGCTTGACTCACCCGCCATGTATGTCGCTCTCTTGAATACAAAGTATTTTTACGTTTTTACATTCAAATTATTGGTCATTCGGAAATTTAGTTAACTATTGATAATATATAGTGCAGTGTTGATTTAAATAAAATAATTTGTAATTACACCTAGTGAACTTAAAATTTTATTGGTGAAATTACTGCATAAAGCATGGGTCCCCTGAAAGGTGATTTCTCCTCCATCCCCACTTCCTTCTCTTCTCCCTTCTCCTCCACCCCCACTTCTAATTCCCATCATCAACATCAACCAGGAACCTTCTACATACACACCTCAAAGTAACTGTACTATACTGCATTTTGTTTATACTTTGTATGTACTTTACTGTGAGCTGGAACCAATTACCCAATATCGCACTGAAATAATGGATTCGGTTAACAAAATTTTCGGTTAACGAATGACTCTGTGGAACGAATTGTATTCGTGAACCGAGGGACCACTGTAGTTGTATATTTTCTATAGAAATGGCAATGATTTTCTGTATATACAATGTACTTTATGGGTCAAACGGAGGCTCAGGAACGTAACTCCCATATTTTATTTCTTATGGGAAAAATTGATCTACGTAACGTTGTTTAGTATAACGTCGTGTTTTCAGGACCGTAACCCGACGTTAAGTGAGGACTTACTGTCCAACAATCCCTGGTGTACTGTAAATAGCTCCACTCATCATTTGTTTAACTCATTTTCCACTATTTTATGGCGATTGTCAATTATGTACAACTTTCATTTTTCAGTAAACGCCCCAAGTGCTGAACAGCCTGAGTAATGACACGAATCTTGGAGAAAAAAAAAAACAGTATTAAATTTTTTATATAAAATACCTTACAATCTTGTGAGTCATTGTTATTAGTGCATGTTAAGGAGCATGGAGCATGCAGACGTGCCAAGTTATGGAGCATATAGACGTGCCATGTTATGGAGCATATAGACGTGCCATGTTATGGAGCGTGTGGACCCATGTTACGGAGTGTATAGACATGCCATGTTATGGAGCATATAGACGTGCCATGTTATGGAGCATATAGACGTGCCATGTTATGGAGCGTGTAGACTTGCCATGTTACGGAGCATATAGAAGTGCCATGTTATGGAGCGTGTAGACGTGCCATGTTATGGAGCGTGTAGACATGCCATGTTATGGAGCGTGTAGACTTGCCATGTTACAGAGCATATAGACGTGCCATGTTACGGAGCATGGAGCTATAGACGTGCCATGTTATGGAGCATGACGTGCCATGTTATGGAGTGGTAGACGCATGTTATGGTGAGTGTGTAGATGCTATGTTATGGAGCGTGTAGATGTGCCATGTTATGGAGTGTAGACGCATGTTATGGAGGTGATGTGCCATGTTATGGAGGTGAGACGCGCCATGTTATGGAGCGGTAGACGCGTATGTTATGGAGCGGTAGCGGCAGTATGGCGGTATGCCATGTTATGGAGGGGTAGAGTGCGTTATGAGGTAGATGTGCCATGTTATGGAGGCGTAGATGTGCCATGTTATGGAGGTGTAGATGCCATGTTATGGAGTGTGTAGATGTGCCATGTTATGGAGCGTGTAGATGTGCCATGTTATGGAGCGGTGATGTGCCATGTTATGAGCCGTAGATGCCATGTTATGGAGCGTGTAGATGTGCCATGTTATGGAGCGTGTAGGATGCATGTTATGGAGCGTGTAGATGTGCCATGTTATGGAGCCGTAGATGTGCCATGTTATGAGCGTGTAGATGTGCCATGTTATGAGCGTAGATGTGCCATGTTATGGGCGGTAGATGTGCCATGTTATGGAGCGTGAGATGTGCGTTATGGAGCGATGTGCCATGTTATGGGCGTAGATGTGCCATGTTATGGAGCGCAGATGTGCCATGTTATGGGCGGTAGATGTGCCATGTTATGGAGCTGTAGATGTGCCATGTTGTGGAGCGAGATGTGCCATGTTATGGGCGGTAGATGTGCCATGTTATGGGCTGGTAGATGTGCCATGTTATGTGTAGATGTGCCATGTTATGGAGTGATGTGCATGTGTGGAGTGTGCCATGTTATGGGTGTGTAGATGTGCCATGTTATGGGTGTGTAGATGTGCCATGTTATGGAGTGTGTAGATGTGCCATGTTATGGGAGTGTAGGATGTGCCATGTTATGAGTGTGTAGATGTGCCATGTTATATGTGTAGATGTGCCATGTTATGGAGTGTAGATGTGCTATGTTATGGAGTGTGTAGATGTGCCATGTTATGGAGTGTGTAGATGTGCCATGTTATGGAGTGTGTAGATGTGCCATGTTATGGAGTGTAGATGTGCCATGTTATGGAGTGTGTAGATGTGCCATGTTATGGAGGTGTAGATGTGCCATGTTATGGAGTGTGTAGATGTGCCATGTTATGGAGGTAGATGTGCCATGTTATGGAGTGTGTAGATGCTGTTATGAGTGATGCCATGTTATGGAGTGTGTAGATGTGCCATGTTATGGAGTGTGTGAGATGTGCCATGTTATGGAGTGTGTAGATGTGCCATGTTATGAGTGTGTAGATGTGCCATGTTATGGAGTGTGTAGATGTGCCATGTTATGGAGTGTAGATGTGCCATGTTATGGGAGGATGTGCCATGTTATGGAGTGTGTAGATGTGCCATGTTATGGGTGTGTAGATGTGCCATGTTATGGAGTGTGTAGATGTGCCATGTTATGGGTGTGAGATGTGCCATGTTATGGAGGTGTAGATGTGCCATGTTATGGAGTGTGTAGATATGCCATGTTATGGAGTGTGATGTGCGTTATGGAGTGTGTAGATGTGCCATGTTATGGGCGTGTAGACGCGCGTTATGGAGTGTGTAGACGCTGCGTTATGGTTGTAGACGCGCATGTTATGGGCGCGTGAAGAGCGTTATGCGTGGCGAGACGTGCCATGTTATGGGCGAGATGTATGTTGGAGTTGCAGATGTGCCATGTTATGGAGCTGTAGATGTGCCATGTTATGGAGTGTAGATGTGCCATGGCGGAGTGTAGATGTGCCATGTTGGGGAGTGTGTAGATGTGCCATGTGCGGGAGCATATAGACGCGGCCATGTTATGGAGCATATAGACGTGCCATGTTATGAGCGGTGAGACGTGCCGGCGATGGAGCGTGTAGACGCGCGGGCGTTATGGAGGTGTAGACGTGCCATGTTATGGGAGTGTGAGATGTGCCATGTTATGGGTGTGTGATGTGCCATGTTATGGAGTGTGTAGATGTGCCATGTTATGAGCCGTAGATGTGCCATGTTATGGAGTGTAGATGTGCCATGTTATGGAGTGTGGATGTGCCATGTTATGGAGTGTGATGCCATGTTATGGATGAGACGTGCCATGGGAGCATATAGTGCATGTTGGGAGCGGTAGTGCGTTATGGAGCGTAGACGCGTATGTTATGGAGCGTGTAGACGTGCCATGTTATGGAGTGTGTAGATGTGCCATGTTATGGAGTGTGTAGATGTGCCATGTTATGGACATATAGACGTGCCATGTTATGATGTAGACGCGCGTTATGGAGTGTGTAGATGTGCGTTATGGGTGTGTGTGTAGATGTGACGTATATAGACGTGCCATGTTATGGCGGTGTAGACGTGCCATGTTATACATATAGACGTGTAGACGCATGCATGTTATGGAGCATATAGACGCCATGTTATGGGCGTGGGACGCATATGTTATGGAGCATAGACGGTAGACATGCCATGTTATGGACATATAGAGCCATGTTATGAAGCGTAGATTGGGTTATGGGAGATATAGATGCCATGTTATGGAGCATGGAGTATAGATGTGCTATGTTATGGAGCTGGGCATATAGACATGCTATGGATATATAGACATACCATGTTACGGATTATAGACATGCCATGTTATGGAGCATATAGACGTGCATGTTATGGATATATAGATGTGCCATGTTATGGAGCGGAGACCTGCCATGCCACGGGCATAGAAGTGCCATGTTGGCGTAGACGCGGCCATGTTTGGACATTAGTGCCATGTTATAAGGTAGATGTGCCATGTTATGGGCATATAGAAGTGCCATGTTATGAAGCTGCAGTAGATGTGCCATGTTATGGAGCATATAGAAGTGCCATGTTATGAAGCGTGTAGATGTGCCATGTTATGAAGTATGGAGCATATAGATGTGCCATGTTATGGAGCATGGAGTATATAGATGTGCCATGTTATGGAGCATGGAGCATATAGACATACCATGTTACGGAGCATATAGACATGCCATGTTATGGAGCATATAGACGTGCCATGTTATGGAGCATATAGACGTGCCATGTTATGGAGCGTGTAGACT